ACAACAGGTTTCTTTTTAGGGTGGGTTTGTTTAATCGTGCAGCTGCTGGGACCAGCCTTTGGCTGGTGGTGTCAGCAAACGGAGCTGCAGAGGAACTGCTAGCTCATGTAATTGGAGGGGATCTTAACCAGGCAGTCACAGCAAATTTCACGGGACAGCACTTTTGACCATTGAAGTCAGCGGAGAGTTGAGGAACCAATGGCCACACCGGCTCTGGGGGGACCTCTTCTTTCATCGTCGCAACCTGGTTTGGCTTCGTGTTGTTCACTGTGTCTTCTTCTTCCAAGATGTCCCCATTGCGTCCCTGAAGAGGCTGTGCCCACTGCTTCATCTTGCCTTAGCCTCCTTTGGTGTCTTCTGGTTGGTCTTTGGCTTCCACCCCAGAAGTCCTGGCTGGCATCTAACTAGGGACGAGCGTACACACAGGCAGTGGCACCCAAGAGGAGACACAAGGATGAGAAGTGGTGGGGAATGCTGTTCTGCTGCAGCCTACATCCCCTTGTGAGTGGATATATCCCATGCTGAGAGTTTGGCTGGGACAGGGCCCTGCTTCCCACATCTCCTCCGCTTGAGGACACTGACTGCGGTAGGATAAATTACCCGTTCTCAAAGAAAAATAGAGCTTGGAGGTTTGAGCATCCTTTTCTGTTGTCACTGCTGAGCCACGGTCCCTTACTAAGCTGCTGCCATCGCCCCCATTATGCTTGATTGCCTTCATGATGTTGTTTTGCCTGTGTTGCCGACACACCTCTGATCTGGAGGGTTTGGAAGGGGTGGAAAGCAAAGAGTTGCTAAGCTTGAAGCATTTTGGGGCGGCCTTAGAGAAGAGATGTTGCTGTGTGCTTGGCTCCTGTATTGAGCTGGCTTCTCAGGTCCCTTTGGAAATATGTTCCCAGGAAAACGGAGTAAATAAGGGAGGGGACGGTGGCGTGGAGGACCAGAAAGAGCCTCGTGCCCACCTTCGTGGATTCCTTAGGTGTCTTCGCAGCCCCCAGCCATCCTCAGGGTGCAGTCCGTTTTGAATGCATGTGCCAGCACCGTGTCTGGCAAGGGCTTGTTTCTCCTGTCCCGTGCCCCCCACCCTGGCCTTACATCAGGCTGCAGGGACACCCCAGCACACAGGGACACCAGGCACAAGTACCGTGGTTTGGGGACACAGACACACGTGGGGTGCTGGCTGCCCATCTCACGTGAGCGTGGAGCTGGCCGCTCCGCAGGTGCTCCTCGGGGATGCCTGGGTTGGCGGGAAACATCTTGAAGCATCTGAAAACTCCATGCAGTTTCCATCCCACGTCCCTGAATCGCAGGGCGAGCGAGGAGCCGGGGAGCTATTTTTGGCTTTGTCTCCTCGCCTGATTCGCTGAAGCCAGTCCTGCCACCACCTCCCTGCGTCTCGCACCGCAGCCACGCCACCGAGCCAGCCCCGGGTTGGGACTTGGACGACATCCTCTGCGCACCGCGGCCGTGATACCTTCCTCGGGGGGGAGAAGGAGCGAATGTGTTGAGCTGGGAGCCGTTTCCCAGCTGCTGGAACAAGTCTCTGTGACCCTGGTGGCGTCCGTGACCGGACCTCAAGCTGGTGGCTCGGCGGTCCCCAGCTGCTCCCGCTGCTGGCATCGGTGACGGTGACCCTGCTGCGGCCGTGCTCCTCGGTTCCCCTCCGCGGTCAACCAGGCAGCGTTTCACAGCGGCGCAGGCAGGGACAAGGCACATGGCTTGGCTTTGCTATTAAAATACATCCATATATATATATATTTGCATGTGTGCATATATATATAAATACATATTTATATATAAAAAAGCATTTCGAGGCAGCGGGGGACCTCAGCAAGGGCCGAGCACCCTCTAGCGGCATTTGCCACGGCTCCAGGGCTGCCGAGCCAGCAGGAAAGCTGCCAAGGACAGAAAGTCTTGCATGAATTTTCCTCCCCCCCCCCCCCGGCTGCCAGTCGCTATCTTTCTTTTTGTTCTTCCTTTTTTTTTTTTTTTTTTTGTTTCGTTTTGTTTCCCTTCTCTTTAATAACGAGCAGCAAATGGCGGGTCCCGGGGATGCCAGGGCACGGGCAGGAGCACGGCTGCAGCCCCTCGTCTCCAGCTTGCTGCTGGACTGCTGAGGATCATTCTGCTTAATTTATTTTATTTTAATTCGGTGGGAAAGCCAGCAGCCTGGGGAGAGCAGGGGCCTTTAGCGATCGGCTGCTCAGGCACTGCGGGTCGGATGCTGCCCGTCCCGGCTCACCCCGAGCCCCCCGGCCGGCAGAGCGGGGACCACATCCCGACACAGAGGGGCATTTTGGAGGGTCGGAGGAGCCCAGCACCCCCAGGCATCCTGGCAGGAGGTGCGTTGGAGCCGGGGACAGTGCTGGGAAGATAAAAAAGCAGCTTTTATATAATCATTTTGTCTTCTCTTTTGACCGAGCGCAGCCTTCCAGGGATAAATAGGCAGCATCAGTTCTGCTTAGACACATTGGCCTTTCCATTTATTTACTCCCTAGCCTTGCTCGGAGCGGGAAGCCAAACCGGGGCCGTCCCCACAAGGTCCCCGGCTGGGCTCGGGGCCACGCTGCGGGGCCGTGCGCCCGCCGGGTGCTGGGGATGCACGCGCCCAGCGGGTGCTGGGCCGTGCGTGTTGCGCGGTGATGAAGCTCGGGGGTTACACAGCGCTTTTCATCAGGAAGCAGCTCTCTAAATATAAACTAATTAATCACTTGTGCCTACCTGTCAGGTCAATGATTCCTGAGATTTTTAATCTAAAAATATTTCCCTTTTGAAATCCAGATGCATCTGTTTTGGCAACTCCGCTTTTGATTTGTTTACGGGGGGGGGTGGGCGGGATGTGTTAATTTTTTTTTTTTTTTAACCTGACTTGCTTTCCATTTGTATTTGGCCTTTTGATGTGCTTTAATTTAGTGATTTTTTTTTTTTTTTTTTTTTTTTTTTTTGTCCTGGAAGAATAGGAATTTGATCTCTTTTTTTCACAGCAAGTTTGTTTCTCGCCCGTAACCCATCACCTCCCCACTTTCCTCTTCTCTTTTTAAGGATTTTGGCTACCTTTACCTCTAATTTCAGTTTATGGACTGCAGACTCCAAACCATTTTCTTGATGAAGTCTGACCTCTCTCCTCAGATTTATCCATCGGCGAAGTGCGGGTGCCCGCGGTGCCGTGGGAAGCCTCCCACGGTGGGGGGGAGATGCCGGTCCTGTTTCCTTGGGGCTCAGCAACTGGCACCCAGCTCCAAATTTGGCACTGTGCCCCCATCCCTTTGTATAGAAGCAATTCTTCCTAGCATGAAATTTTTTATTATTAGTCATCTTATTGGCAAATTTACTGTTGTTGGGCTTTTTTCTGTCTTTTCTTTCCCCCTGACCTTCCCACCTTTGCTGACAGTGAGTATTTTAATCACAAAATTGCCAATAAATGCTAGAGTCCTGAAAATAATTATTTCACTAGAGTTTGAGGCTTTTAAAAAAGCTCTTTTTAGTGTTAGCTAAACCTCTCAACAAGGTCTTTGACTTCCATTTTATACTGGTAATAGCTATATCTTTAACTTATTTCAGAGTGACGAAGACCATACTTGGTGTTTGCCCAGGTTTTTTAGCTGCTCTGGTTTTGCTTCTTATTACCAACTGATTTTAGACTTCTTTTTTTTTAAACGATGGGGAAAATCACTTGCTCTGCTTTGAGCTGCGGATTCAGGGGGTCAAATTCATCTTGAGTGTAAGCGGGCACGGCTTTATTAAAATCCACGCAACATTACCCAGATCTGGATGCGCACGAGTGTGTGCTCGGGACAGGGTGTGTGTGTTTACAAAGTGCTTTGAGCTCCTGTGCCAGATGAGATGGGGAAATAGAATTCATTTCTCTGAGGAAATGCATTTTTTTGTTCGCTCATCAAGGATTTATTTTATTTATTTATTTTGCAGCTGTGTGTGTGTGCATGCAGAAATCTCAGGTTATGCATCTGTGTTCAAACACAGACCGTGGGGGGACACATGAGGACACGTAGGGCACCTCCATCCTTCAGACCCGGGACATCCCAGGCAGTTGGGATGCTCCCATGTGTTTTTTGCAGGAAAATTCTCGCAGGAGAAGGACTTTTACTCGAAGCAGTAATTGAGGTAGGGAGTACAAAGAGGGCAAGAAAATTCTGTGGTTAGAAAGTCACTCCAGAAGAAGAATTAATTTGTTGTTGCCCCTTTTCTTAGCATGGTTTAGACTTCACTGGAACGACTGGATTCTAAAAAAAAAAGAAAAGAGGACATTTTCCAAATAATAAAATTTATTTGGTACATTTTTGTGTTTGTTTCTCTACTGCATGGCTGAAAGCATGGCCTTGCAAGCCCTCTCCATCTGTATTTAAAGATGGGGAAACTGAGGCACGGTCAGCCATGGGCTCTGAGGCTCTGTCTGTCTTCTTCTGCCATCTGGGGTTGATGGCTGATGCAAATGGTGCAGGATCAAGCTGTAAATGACATGTTAGAAACGTCATGTTAGGTGACATGGGAGGGTCCCTGGGCAAGCTGAGGTCTGGGCTAGAGACTCCCAATTTCCCATCCCATGCTTGAGTCGGGATATGGTCCCTGTCGCTTCTGGCAACAAGAATGGGTGCATTTGTTGGTTTTTTTGGTTGGGGTCGTTAGCAGTTTCGCTGCGTATTTGAATGCAAAGCGTGGCTGTCTGGGTTGGTTTTGCCCTGCTTCTTCCCTGTGGGAAGGAGGGGAAGAGGCAGGGAGGGGTGTGGGGGGCTGGAGTGTCTCCATCACTGCTGCTGCTGGGCTGGAGAGCCAAGGAGCTGCGCTTGGTGCCAAGCACTTGGAGCACCAGGATGCAGACTGCCTCTTGGGGTACCCTTGGGAAAGGAAAAAAAGCCTCACTGGTGGGGACTGAGCCCCACCAGTCCAACCTGGGATGAGCATCCCCTTTTGGGTGAGCATCCCCTTCCCCAAGTTGAGCCCCGGGTACCACTCAGGCTTTTCTCTCCCCTTTGTGTCTCCTGCAGTGCTGAGCATCCGGGGAGCGCAAGAAGAGGAGCCCACGGACCCCCAGCTGATGAGGTTAGACAACATGCTCCTGGCCGAGGGGGTAGCAGGCCCCGAAAAAGGAGGTGGCTCGGCCGCCGCTGCCGCCGCTGCCGCCGCGTCGGGAGGAGCCGGCTCGGACAACTCGGTGGAGCACTCTGACTACAGAGCCAAACTCTCCCAGATCCGGCAGATTTACCACACGGAGCTGGAGAAGTACGAGCAGGTAACAGGCTCCTTCGAGGCGGAGGACAGGGCTGCCCGGGGGTGGTGGTGATGGGGTGGTGGGAGCAGGAGCCGGAGCCGCCGGGAGAGCCACGGTCCAGTGCCGACACCGCGGCGTGGATGTGCACAGCCTGGATCGCTACTGACATCTATTGTTAGGAGTGTACGGGCAAATGCAAACTGTTGCTTGGTATTGGAGTGAAAACGTGCTTTTTTAGAGTGGGAAGGGATGAGGTTTTGTGCTGGAATGTGGCACGAGAATAGGCTCGGCATGGGTTGCCCCTTTGATTTTCGCTTTTCACTCCGCCCCTAATATCTTGCCAAAAATTTGCCTTATGAAGGGGAAGTCCTCTTTGAGGTGCTGGCCTCGGTGCAGGAAGTTTTCCAAGCAAGGCTTGAATCAAAATCTTCCTTGAATACTTTTTCTGCTTGAAAAGTTCTTTTTGCAGTATAAAAAAAAAAAAAAAAAAAAAAAAAAGTGCCTTTTTTCTTGTGGAAAATGATTCTTAAAGAAAAGAAAAAGAAAAACTATTTGGGTCATGAATACAGCTATTGGTAACACTGACAATTGCATGAAAAGCTTCGCAGGCCAATGCTCAAAACCAGTTTCTTTCAAATGCTTCCAGATGTTTTGCAGACCTCTCTTCGCCGCTGCGCGGCTTGCCCTTGTGCTGAATGTGGTTTGTACCCCGAGGTTGTGCTTTATGGAGCGCGAGCAAGAAAGCATCCCTCCTTTTTGGGTGCAGGATGGGCTCCGGGGCCAGGGGCCAGGTGGGGTTCCGGGTCTCCGGTTTAACGGCGTCTCTGCCGATGTGACGGGGCCGTGAGCGGCTGCCGGTGGCCAGGCCCAGGGAGCAGGCAGGAGACAGGTTGGAAGGATCTTCTTTGGTGGCTGTCCTTAGCCCCTTGCTGTCATTCCTCCGAGGCACTGAGACGGGGTGGTGTGGCATTGAGGGAGCCTCAGCCATCTCATGTGGGTAGGAGCGGAGAGCACATCAGGGCTCATCTTTCAGCCCCGAGGCAGAAGAGGGGGAGAGAGACCCCATGTCCTCTGCCACCCAAGCTCAAGGAGAGACCCCTGGCACAGCCAGGGATGGGCTTCAGGGAAGGACCTTCTGCTCCTTCCTCCCCTTGGGCAGGAGTTTTCTTTGTTCGCTTTTCTGATTTTGTTTCTGCATCGTTTTTTGCTCCCCCCGAGGGTCACCCAGGTGAGAGAAGCCTTTACCCCAGCCCCATGGGGTGAGACGGGCTACATCTTTCCTTCTCACAACCTTCTGATGGGGTTGGTTTTGCCACCAAGTCGCTTTGCAAATGGCTGTGCTGGTCTGCACCTCCCCGCAGTCCTGCAAAACCAGGGTTCAGGCTTTCTCACTCTCCATCCCCCTCCCTCCAGTCCCATTGTTGGTGGCTGGGGGAGCTCAGCGCCTGGCTTCTCACAGCGTCTGGCTGCTGCTGTGACAGCACGGCGCTCGCCGGCAATTTTGCCTTTAATGCTCTTTATTTCATGCCAAGAGGAGACGAGCTGAAATTGCTCGGGCGTCTGGGAGCAAAGAGGCGCCCAGCTGAGAGCTCTCGTAGCCAGCACTCCCCCCGGGAGATGAGAGCTGTCAGCTGAAGCTGGTGATGGGCAATTGGAGGGGCTCTGCTGGCCTCAGGCATGCCTCCTTGTTGGGTCTGAGCCCTGGGTGGGGATTCAGCTTGGGAGGGTGAGAGATAGAAAGTCAAGCCCATGTTGCCATTCCACAAAATCGGTGTTTCTTTCCCCTGCTAGTCCCTTTTTCCCCATCATGGCACGGGAACTGAGGACGCTGTTCCCAGAGCAGCTGCCTGTGTCCCAGGAGCTCCGAAAGCTTCTCGAGTCATCAGTGTCCCAGTGCTGCTCTCCGCCTGGTTTTCAGGGCTTGGTTCTGGCAATCGGAGGATCCTGTTGTGGCTGTGAAGTGCTTGTGGAAATGGAGGAGAGGGCAATGAAGTGGCCTTCATCGAGGCTCAAAATCCCTCCCTTCTCTCCCCTACTCCTCGTACTGCCCTGTCCTCACAGCTCATCGTGGGGGCAACAGGAGCAGCCAGGCGGTGCTGTGCCAGCAGCAAACTAATTGGGATTGTTTCCTGCTTGCCTTTAGTTGTCAGGACTCCTGCCTCACTCAGGCTTTAATTATTATTATTTTTATTATTTACTTCTTATCTGATGTGGTAAGAGCACGGAGGAGGGCCATGTCTCTCTGGGAGCTGCTCCTGTGAAGCATGAGGGATGCTGCAGGACACATGGTGCTGGGGTCCAGCTGGGGCAGTGGGAAGAGGGACAGTGGATTAAAAGGTTTATGATCCTCTTTAGATACATCTGTATCTCCTCTAGCCCTGTCCAGAAAAACAGTGGCTGGAACTTCTTCATGCTTTACGTGAGTCCTAGGGCTTCACCTGCCCCAGGTTCATCCATGATCCCTGAGAGGAAAGGAATTGGCTCCTTCCTTTCTCAACATGTTTGTTGTGAGTCTCTCATTTCCCCTGCTTGAGCAGAGAGTTTTATCTCTCCCAGATGAGAGAAATTGATCTCTCTCCCAAGAGCCAGCACACTTTTATTCTGGGCCTGCCCTAAGAAGCCTCAGCCATTGAGGCCTCCGCTTGCGTCTCCTTCCTGAGCAGCGTTGTCTCTGTACTGTCCTTGACGCCGTCGAATGACCTTCCGATCCTGGGGTTTCTTTTGCTTTTCTTGCCATCCCAGGCATGCAACGAATTCACCACCCACGTGATGAACCTGCTGCGTGAGCAGAGCCGGACCCGACCTATCTCGCCGAAGGAGATAGAGCGGATGGTGAGCATCATCCACCGCAAGTTCAGCTCCATCCAGATGCAGTTGAAGCAAAGCACGTGTGAAGCCGTCATGATCTTGCGCTCCCGATTTCTGGACGCACGGTGAGTTCACCCCACCAGACCTTTCTCCTCACCCACCATGCAGCGTTGTTCAGGCCTGGGAGAGGTGTTTTGAGTTTCTGGAGTGAATTCGGGTCCATCTGAAGGGCCGCGTCTCTTGGTCTTGAGCTGCAGAGGCTATTTACCCTCCTTTAGTTGTCTGTGGTTCAGCAGGGTAGGGGACAGCAATTCAAGACATCCAGCCTCTGTCTTGGGCAGGCTCCCAGCTGCATCTTGAGAATTGCACATCCTGGCAGAAGGAAGTTCTGTGGCATATTCCAACAACCTTCTGTGGTGAAAACGTGCAGTTCAGTTAGGGATGAAAGCTAATGCTCCAGCCCATCGTGTCCCCTCTTAGATTCTTGTTCTTATGTTTCCATTGTCTCAGATTTTCGATTTGCTGTAGGATTATTTCACTCCCCAAGGTGGTTACGTGCAGGCTGTGGCTTAGGCTACAGCTTGGGATGGGGAGGAGAGGCAGCTACACTGGGGGTACAAGGGCAGAGTTAGCAGTCAGATAATGCCCATCAGTAAATGGAGCATACTTCCTCAAGGATGTATCCAGTACTACTTTCTCAGCACGGAGCTTTGTAGAGTAGCAGTGATGTTTTTGGCCAGGGCAGCCAGCTGTCAGGAGTCGCATTCCCAGGTGGAGGAGCTGTCTGCCAGTTTTAAGACTCTTCTGTGAGCTGGAGAATACAGTGATAATTTGAGACAGAGACTTACTTGCTCTGGAAGATGCTGAGAAAGGGGGCACCAGCAAGGTGCAGATGAGAAGCTTCCTGGCCATGAGTCTATTGCACTCCATGCTCCCAGGAGCAGGGGAAGGGGGGAGGGAAGTGGGGAAAGTCAGAGTATCTAAAATTGCATTCCTATTTCTGGATCCCTGGCACTGATTTCCTTTCCTTTTCCTTCTGTTTCCCCCCGCTTTCTTCATGCTAAGGCGGAAGAGACGAAACTTCAACAAGCAGGCTACGGAAATCCTGAATGAGTATTTCTATTCCCATCTCAGCAACCCTTACCCCAGTGAGGAAGCCAAAGAAGAGCTAGCCAAGAAATGCGGCATCACAGTCTCACAGGTGAGAGAGCTCAGAAATACATCAAGGATGGCTACTGCTAACGGGAAACCTTAGCGTGGTGAAGGGCACTCTGGACCTCAGTCAAGTCAGTGATGTCCCAGTATTGGGCATTTAATTACTAAATGAGTTTAACGCAAGTTAATGTAAGTCGATGGGAGAGCAGATGGCAGACTTGCAGATTGAAGCCATGGATTGAAAAGAGGAGCTTGGGAGAGGATTTAGAAGGGATGAAGGCTTCATGGAGTGATGGCTGTGTGTGCAGCCAAGTTGTTAACAGCACAGAAATGATGTGGCGTGACCCACAGAGGCAAAGTCTTCTGCTCAAGGAATTAGTGCTGAGCTGGCTTGCAAGAAGAGCTCGTTTGAGCTGAAAGTCCATTCTTGCACAGAGTTTGCTTGATCAGGTGGAATGGACAAGGTGTGAAGGGTTTGGGTCAGACAGGCTAATGGTTATAGTTTGTGCTCAAGGAGGGTGGGCTTTCTCAGGGTTGTTTCTTTCTGTCATTATTCTTGTGCTGCGGGACATGACATCTCCCTGACTTGCTTATCCCTCAAAAGGTGGTCAATAAAGACAGACTGAATTATTTCCATACATTCAAGGCAGCCACATAGTTCCTGGAGTTTGTGGCTTTGACCTGGGAGCTGCTGGGATTTGTGAGGAGTGCAGTCAGTCCTTGAAGTGTTCAGCCATAGGCCTGCCTTTCTTTATTTCCTCTCTTTGGAGCAAACTGTGTGATTGAAAGCCAGTCTATATGGCCTCTGGTAGTCTTGTCCTCGTGTGTGCTTAGCACTCCCTCTAGGCTCCCATCGCATTCCCCATCTTGGGCTGCTTCCCAGCCCCAGGCGCATTCCTGTTTGTCACTCGAGTAAACTGAAGACAGCAGTAGCATCTGGTGTCCTTGTGAGAGCGTGTCTGCCTTCAGCAGGAGCAACAGCATCCAAGGGTAGGTGTTGTCACCGTGTTGAATGCCTGCTGAGTGACTCCGATTGCATCCCCTGGGTCAGAAGACCCAAACATTGATTCTGCCCAGAGTTACCTACAAGAGACAGCACATATTGGCTTAGGTAAAACTACAGCTGTCTTGATGCTTCCCCTCTCACTTTTAATTCATCTGTTCACACTTACATCTTCTCCCTTGCAAAGAAAATGCCCAGGAGAAATGCTGCACTTAGGGTATTTTTTGACCATGCTGTATCAAGGATGCTTTGTGCTGTCTCCAGGATCTCCCTCTCTTCTTCATCCAAAGAAGGCAGAAACAAACACACATCCAGGTCTCTGTTTTTGCTGAGGCTAAGTGGGAACATGGGACAGTATGAATCTATATAAGTCATGAGCAGAGTTGATCTGAACTCAAAGGGTGACTGGGGTAGACAGGTTCTTTGCTTCACAAGTTTTAAGATGAAAATCAATTGTGGTGGCCATTTATCCCAACTTCCTTCCCTGTGGTGCTCAGAGTTCGCCCACCAGCTCCAACATTTGAAGCCAGAATAGCTGTTGGAGGGAGATGGCCAAGTGGAACAATCATGAAGGAGCACATCGTCATTGATGAGAAAGCACAACCAAGGAGTGGAATGGAGCTCCTCGCAAACAGCACCTGCTCCTGGTTCCATCAAAATGTCCACTCCCAGATCTGGGTTGGGTGCTGATCTGAATTACTATGTTTTGCCTCCCAGGAGTCTCTGCAGGTTATATTTTCTTTTTCCTGCCCTGCAGCAGCACAGGGTTAGATACCTGCAGTTCAGTAGCAGGTAGATTGATGGATTTGTGTAGAAGCTGCTGAATGCTCTAGGAGCACTGCAGATAGAAAACATCAGAGGAATAAAAGCATATGGGTTTCAGTTATCAATACCCAAGCCAAAACAGTTTGCCTAAGATGAGGAGAAGATCATGAGCTTTTCAGGATGAACATCCTATATTGTCTTCTCTGTCTTGGTGCTTGGACATTCCATTTAGAAGGGGGAGCACTGATGTGTTTGCTCACCAGCAAGCAAAGGGAGAATGTCCCTGGAGTCCCACCAATGAGGTTGATCTGCTAGCTCAAAATTGCAGCTCCAGGCAATCCTAAGAGTGTTGGAGCTCTTCTGAGAGAGTTGCAGCATCCTCTGGCATTTGCCCATTCTCTTCATCCTGATGAGCTTTCTCAAACAAGGTCCATAGTGGCTGGAAGTTGTCTTCTACTTGGAGACTGCATGCAGGAAGATATTCCCCTGATTCTCAGTGTTCACTGCTGTAGAACAAGAAGCTGGGAGCTGCTTCCCAAACTGTAGGTTGAATATTTCCCACATCTTCTCTGAAACTGCCCACAAGTGAACAGTATTATCATCAGCAGGGTACTGAGTGGGATTTGGGGAATGCTGAGTTCATGGTGGTTCGGGAGATACCCAAACATTTTCCCTGGAAAGTAGTTCTGACCAGATACCACAACTTGGTTTCACAGACTTCAGAGTTAATGCTATCACTGTGCTGAACCTCTGACATGCAAACTTTGGGGTATATATCCAGACAGCTGGCAGGTTGCACAAGCAACCTCTCTGTCGAGCATTCATACTACTGATGCTAAGATACCACCCTGAGAGTCTGCGAGGATCACTGCTCAGACCTCTCCTTGGGGCTTTCTGAGGTTTGTGCATCGCACTGCTGCAGACACAGGGAAACAGCTTTCGCCAGGACTGGCATGAGCAGAGCTGCACCGCTTTATTCTGCCTTCAGATCTGGCCCATCATTTTCAGCCACCCCCTATGACTTGTGAAGTTCATCCTGCTTCTTCATTTCTTTAAAGTAAATCCACTAAACCCCGTTCAGCACACTTCTGGTCACTTAGACTCATCAGGCCCGTACTGGTCTCTGGGCAAACACAATGGAAGCATCCCCTGCCCCTTTCCAAAGGACACGCTTCTTCCCTGGGACCAAAGTTAGGTCTTAGGACGAGCCCTGTGCTCCCTCTCCAGCCTTCTCCTGAAGCTCCCAGTTTATGTAGTGGCTCATGCTAAACTATACAAAGCTGAGCTGAGCTGGATGAAAAGCGTCCACTTCTGGCCTTTTGCACTGATTTTGCTCAGATCAAAAGGAGAGCTTCAGTGATATCAAGGCAATTTTGTCTGTCAGCTAGGCCCAAGTACATTTGTTGGGTGCTTTCCCTGAAAGCCACACTGGCTCCTCCAAAGGGAGAAGGAGCATATGGGAATCAGGGCATCTGTCCCTGTCACAGGGTTACTGAAGAGGAGACAAATAAAAAGTTCCAAAATGACACATACCTGTTTCCAAGTTGTGCAGTTTCAGTGTCATTTGACTTTCTCAGGTGTTTCTTAAACCCATCTGATATTTTCATGGGATGAGCCTAGCAGTTCCATAGAAGAACCAGATATATCAGTACGAACCCAGCACTCCCAAGGGGTTCCCACCACCTTTCCTGGGCTTGGTGTGGCACACGAGGGTAGGAGGTGCTTCCTTCCACGGCTAGGAGAAGGGGGATTGGGGAAGAGAGTATGCACTGCACTAATGAATATGGACCTGAACTAACCCACCTTCCTCACCCAGCCACGCTCGCCAGAGCTGAAACGTTAACGTCTTTGTCTTCTCTTGAACTTGCTCTAGGTATCAAACTGGTTTGGAAATAAGAGAATCCGGTACAAGAAGAACATAGGTAAATTTCAAGAGGAAGCCAATATTTATGCTGCCAAAACGGCTGTCACGGCTACCAATGTGTCAGCCCATGGAAGCCAGGCTAACTCACCCTCAACTCCCAATTCAGCTGGTTAGTTTTTGTTTTTTTTTTATTTTGGGTCGTTAGTGTTCGTTTTTCTGTTTGTTTCCCCCCCTCCCTCTAATCTCTCTCTTGTGTTCTCCTTTCGGTTATTTCAATTTTTATTTTCTGGTTTTGGTTGACTCACTTTTGTGGTCTCTTAAAAAAAAAAAAAAAAAAAGGGTTTGTTTTTTGGGGTTGTTTGGGGGGGGTGGTACTTTATTTTCTTTGCTTTTTTTCCCCTCTTTTTTATTTTCTCTCATTTTTTCTCCTCCCCTTCTATGTTCTGGTTTTCGTTGGAAAAACAATGTGATCAGACCTCGTGACTGATGGTGCCGCATTGGGGGTTATATGCATGGATGGTAAACATAGAACCAGTAAAATGATCTGGAAAAAGTTGCTGGGATTGCTTGCATCTCGGGGGGAGAAAAAAAATAATTAAAAAGTTGTTGCATAATAGTTTTGTTTAACTGGGGCTGAAAGCACAAGTGGCCCTAACGGATAAAACCCAGCATTTCTGGGATGTCCTAACTCATGCCATTTTGGGGGTTGTTTTGGGTAGATTTTTATCCTTTGATTTTCTTTCTGTTGTGATTACCTTTGATTGCTTACATGACAGTGTCTGGATCACCTGCAAGAGTGTGCTCTGTGTGAATTTTATTTTCCCTTTGTGTCAGCACGATCCAAGAAAATCCATGGATCGTTCCCTTCCCTTTTCCCCTTTCCTGCCCATTTGCTGTGGTTTCCATTTGTTTGTTTTGAGGGTCAAAGGCACAGAGCACTTTGCCCAGATTTCAACTCCTCCGCTAGAGAACGATGCCTGGTTCATGCGTGATGCCTGCCGCGAGGACGGCCGACCCAAAAATGATCCCAGGCTGCGGTCGGTTGGTTGTGCTCCGCTCCCAAGAGCGATGGGAAATTGGGATTTGTTTAAAAGGAGGGGAAAAAAGGGAACTTCATGGGTGCCATGTACTTCGTTATCCATGCAAATATCTACGTGCCTGTTTTCTTTTTAGGGGTGGGAGGGGGAGTGGGAATGTGCCACTCTTGGGCCGTTGAGCTCAGTGTCTGCTCCTGGTACCCTTTCACCGGGGCGAGATGCCTGCTGTTATCAGGTAGGCTACTGAGAGGAAGGAGATGGTGGGGGAGCAAAGAGGATGGTGGACAGCAGGAGAAGCTGGATGTTGAGTAGACCACCAGCGGTACACCACGCAGATGCTGGTTGCTATCAGGACATGCTTCTGTAGTGAGCGCAACCCTGCCTGTGACAGGTATCAGCGGAGTTGGACCCCAGAAGAACCCCCAGATCTGGAGAATTTGAGTGAAAAGTGGAGAGCCAGTGGTCAAAGAAGGGGAGAAACCAGTGGCGTGGGTCTCTGGCTGATCTCCCAAACCAACCTCATGGCAGGAAGGCAAAGGCAGTGTGTTACCCACAAGCTAATGTAATAAGTGGTGGTTGATCTCTCTGTGCTGGGGAGCTCGTCCACACCTTGCAGGGACTCGTGGATGGCTTGCACAGAATCAAGTGGTAGAAAGCTTATTCAAGTGGTGGAGAGAAGTCCCTACACACAACCCCTTAATTTCCAGGGGATGTGTTACTTGCTAGGGGCCTGCCCCCCCACAGCCACCTAGAGTAGAGATGTTGCAGCTTCTGGTTGCAGGTCAGAAATACTTCTGGGAGGCATCTCTCCCACCTCATTCTCACCCAGGGCTGCTTGTGAGCGAGTTGTGGTGCCTGCTCTGGCTCAGCTGAGGTGCTCAGAGGGCTCAGGTGGATGCATCAGAGTTTTGGAGGGACAGATGGTTTGCAGGGATTTTGTTTGATTCTTTTATTTTTGGTTTGTTTGGGTGGATTTTTCCTTTCTCCTTCCATTGTTTGAACGGCTGAAGATTTAGCTGCAGTTTTAAAAATTTCATCCTTTCCAAACAACTCACTCAAAATACCTGGTCGGGGGGGATGTCCTCGTGACATTAACACCCCCCTGTAGAAAAGGCTGGAGGGTAGAGAGTAGAATTGTGTGGGTTGAGGGAGATAGCTACTGCCTGTGGTGCTGTCTTGCGGTCCACATCAGCTTGGACCAAAGAAACACAGCTTTCCTTCTTTTCTTCTTTCTTCAACCAGAGTCAGATCCAAAGGTCTGGAATAGCAAGGGAAGATTGCTTAAATGGGTTTGGATCTGGCCTGCGTGTAATGGAATAGGCATTTCCCAAGTGCCTGCCCAGTTAAATACTGCTCCAGTGCGAGGCTGTTTCTTTGCCTTCCCCACAGGCAGTAACACGGCTGTTTCAAAGATAAATTGGCTGGTACCCTGCAGTAAACAGCTAAGATAATCCCTGGATAACACTACACTTGCAAGGAAGGACAAACAGTCTTGTTATTAACGGGTAAGACTTGAGCTCCTGGGTCCTCTTTCGGGCTCACTTGTCTGTACTCCAGAAACATCGACCTCTTTTCACGTGCCTAATGTGGCAGCAGTGCTAAAGCAGCACATCAGTGCAAGGGGAGCTTGCGGGCCACGAAGACCCTTCTTCTGCTAGAAGCAAAGTGTTTCTAACCTGGCCCAGATCCCACCACCCTCCCTGTATGCTGCAGCAGTTGTCAGCACTGCAGTTGTCCCTGGGCCAGCCTGCAGACAGTGGGTTTGGATGTCCTTGTAAGTCCTGTCGTGAGAAGACGGCTGTAAGGGCCTCAGGATTTTACCTCCAACAGTGGCATCCCAGGTTGAGATCTCCCCAGCTGAGCCATGCGGATGTAAGAGCTCAGTCAAGCATCCCTGCATTATCACACTGTGGGACAGAGGCATGTCCTGAGGACATCTGGAGTCGTGTGAGTCTCCCCTGCTTCAGGTGGTCCTGTAGGTGCTAGCAGCAAGAAGCACACCTGTACATGCTGGGTCTGAAATACCTGTCTGTGAAGGATTTGGAGGATGGTGTCAAGGGCCCTGAGCCATCCAGATGTGCTGAATTGCCCTGGGAGAGACGTGGAAGTGGGTGAAGAGGTGAAGGACTAAAAGGAGTGATGCTTCTCCTTTTACACCATAGACTTCTTTCTGTTTTCAGATCATTGGCTGAGACTTTGGTGAGGAGGGAGCCTGAGCAAAGATAGGGTTTGCTGGGAATTTGTAGGACCTTCTGATGTAAATACATCATAGGGCATGTGGAAAGAACGAGAGTAGACAGAGGACAGGTCATGGGAAAGAAGCAACCAGCAATGTAGTCCCTGGAGGGCCATGATGTTGGAAGAGGAGCTGGAACTGGATGCAATGGGACCTGGGACAGGAGCTAAATTCATTTCTGCTGTGGCTATGCAGGCCCATCTGTTCTCTGCATTGATGCCCATGTTACTGGAGATTGGTGAATGGCTACAGTCAGTCAAAGAGATTGGCCACACATTGACAAGGGCAGGGATGGCATCTGTCTAGCCATCTGGCACGTTCAAAGCAGGGTCCCCCATCCTCGGTCACCCAGGCCTGAATGTCAAACACCTTTTCATCCTGAATACGCACAGTTGGGCTTTATCAGCCAGATGTTCAAATAAGCTGAGATGTCTGGCTCATTTGGGCTAACAACTCCCCGTCCTCACTTTGATTGCCTGGACAATCTCAGCACAAAAACCACATGGCAAATGAAAGCTATTTTATGTGGGCAGACCCTTTTGCCTACCAGAGTCCTCAAGGGCCACACACAGGTGATGACATCCAGTGAAATCTTCCATGCAGAGCACTCAGAATTGCCCTGAACTGTTTTTTTCCTGTTCACCCTTTTGTTTTGTAAAAATCCTCTGGCAAAGCTGCCGATGGAGGGGATCATGCTCTCTGGAAATGTACTTCATCAGGCACAGGCCTAATTGCTGTATCTTATCTTCTCTGCCTTCGTCTGTTTGTGGCAATCACTTGTGCAAAGCACAGCGCTGGAGAGGACCCTGCTTCAGCAGAGAGGCTCTTCTGGTCATGGTCTCACTGTCTTGAGTGTTGGTTGGCAAGTGAAAAAGAACAAATGTCCTGCCGGCTCATCCCAGGCTTTTTCACCTGCTATCAAACTCAGTGGCTTTGTCCATCAAGTTCTTCCCTCATCTTCAGCCATGGTAGAAACACAAGGAAAAGTTACAGGGTGGGTAAATGCTGTGCTCTCAGTGCATGTATGTCATTGCCATTGACTTCAACTAGGAGTCTTGTATACATGACCAAAGTTGACTTTGGTGGTTCAGTGCGCTGGATTTCTGTCTCATAGGTCCTAGGTGGTACGAGGCAGCCGATGAGGATGGCTTGATTTCAGCTCCAACGAACGCCATTACCACATTTGTTTATTCTTGATGCCGCTGGAATTGTCAGATACTTTAGAGAAAAGGACTTGTTAGATGTCCCGGAAAATTTGAGGTGGAAGTTGAGGTTGAACATTAGAGAAGACGTCAGAGGCTGGAGAAGAAGCTCTCTGAAGAGGTAGAGAAATGGTGCAAGAAAAAACAGCAGTCAAGCTTGTGAAGATTTTTGAACTGGAGGCAAACTTGAAGTGGGTTCTGCTCATCAGAAATGTTAGGGGTGGAAGAAATTTGCGGACACAGTTTAGATGTATAGGCTTTTCACCTGGTGGCAAGATCTGACTGTGTAGCTTGTTTGAACATTTCCAGCACTCTTCCTGAAGCTGGTGATGACCTGATAGGAACTCAACACTAAGGAATAGTGGTGGTAGGTCTTGGGTTTGGTAAGATGTCTGAATACTGAAGACGAACCACCGTTCCACACTGCTACAAGTCATGAAAACTGTTGTTTTTTCTGGTGTTTTGGTTTGTTTGTTTGTTTGGTTGGGTTTTTTTTTTTGTCTGCACACAATAGCATCAAGGGACTTCCATACCAAGATCAGAGCTCTTTCCTCCTGGGTTCACAAGTTCAAAGGTGGTTGTTATCTCTCAGATCTTGAAGAGCCCCAAATCAAATTATGACCACTGAAGATCTTGGGTATGTTCACAATGGAGCCTTTCAGAGGGACAGATTAGATTTATGATGGAGCCTCCTCTAGTGGAAGGATTTGACTTGTATTCCCAGATCTTGTCTCCGTGGAGGATACCAGAGTCTTAATTTTCAGGGCTCTTTGCATGAAGATCCCTCTTAGCCGTGTCTCTGAGACTTTGGGCCATCGTAATTTTCATACATGGCTAGTACGTAGACAGCAGAGTGCTGAAGCAGCAGAGCGGCAACGCAAAGGGCTCTGCAATTACGGCTCTGATACAAATGCATCCATACGTGCGGGGCCATTGGTATGCGCATATTTATCTTTGCATCCACATCAGCAGCATGACATATTTACCGTTTAGATATGCACATATATTGTAAAAATACCCTGTGCCAATAGCAGTGTATATCTTGTAAGTGACATCTCCAGCGCTTCTCGTGATTTCCAAGACACCGGCACTCTTCAGAACTAGAGTTTGTGGCTGTTTGTTTATTTTTATTTCCTCCCTCCCAGTCTCAATTTTACGGCCAGGTTTGTTAAGTTTCAATAAAATATCGGTTAAGTTTATGGCATTTTTATTTGTTGTTATTGTTATAATTTTCTTTTGGTAGGGGAAAGTGGGATGAAATGTTGCTCTGCTGGGGGCAGAGCGATAGCGGTGCCCTGTCAGGTGCTCAGGGATTCCCGAATCCTCTTCTCAGCTCTGCCACTGATTATTTGTGTGATCTCAAAGGTTTCTGCTCACCTTAAAAGAACAGGAGAATATTCTCTGCTTCTTGTGAGCACTAGCTGCAGAGTCCTTTGGTTCTCAGCCGCTGCAGGAGTACGAAGCCACGTTACTGCCCTGTGCTTGTATGTCGGTGGTCAAAGTGATCATTCAGAAAACCGGGTAGGAAGCACCTTTGTGTATGTGAAAAGTGCCCATCTTCATGCTTAAAGTTGAGCATTGTCAGGGCGGGCTATCCTCAGTCTGGCAGCAAATTTCCTTAGGTTTTTTGGCCTTTAAAATAGCAAGTAACCTGAGAGGTTGGGAAGTGACAGGAGCCCTTTGCCAGCTGAGCAGAGGAGGTGATGGTTACAGCTGCCTTCTGACTAGTCCTGGTGATTTTACGCAGCGCTGTGGGATTGCTCTCTGGAACAGGTTGGGCAGGGTTGACAGTGAGCACAGACAATGAGCCATTTCGGGCTCTGCTCTTTGCAGGCACCGGTGGGAGTGTCCTGATCCAGGACTCACTGTGCTCAACTTGAGTCTCTTTACTGTCTTGGGCATTGTATCTAGCAGCGATGTTTCTGCTTTCCTTCAACTCTGAGAATTTCCAGCACCTGACAAAAGAGCCAGTTGCAGAGAAAACAGCAGAGAGTTTAGTGAACGTGAAGTCTCCAGCATAGACCTGCCACCTGCTCCCTGACCTTTCTTGGAGGCGGCTTGCTTCAGAGGAGCCTTCCTGGTTCACCTCCAGGGCAGAGCTGGGGTCTGTCCAGAGTGTTTCTTCCCTCTCCAGCAAAGGGAGGGGAATCGCCAGGCATTTCTCAGAGCATACGCATGAGCCATAGTTGGGCAATTCCACCAGGACTGTGGTTGCCAGTCTTCCAAGTTGGAAGTGGCAGTGGAGATGGTGAGAGTGTATTTGGGGTTGGAGCTGAAAGTGTAGCTGACCTGGGCCCCTGAAGTCTCTCCTTTCCAAAGCTAACGTCATGTATATAACCAAACCTTGCACGTTGAGCTGTCTCACACTTAACGCGCTGATCTGCACGATAAGTTCTGAAATAATCCCATAAAACCTTTTTATTTATTTTTAACCCCCTTCCCTCCTTCCCCGCCTTCCAGTTACATGATGGGTTTGTTTTTCCCGTTCAGTAGTTGAGGAGGTGCTCAGATATCTTGAAGCTGGAAGCAGAAAACCTTGTTTCTGCAAAGGCGGGATTTTTTTTTTTTCTTTTCATTTGATTTTTTTTTTTTTTTTCTCCTGATCCCACCCAGTTGTCTTCACCGTTATCGTTTTTTAGCGTAACGTTGGCGACTGGTGCATGCGGTGGGGAATTTGCTCACGGAGCTCGTTCTTCTGGGGCAGCTGGCCCAGGTGGGCTGTGACACCCTCGCGTTCTCTCATGGCCCATCACGATGAAAGACACTTGCCAGCGTGATGGGTACTGGGAGTCTGGCCTAGGTGCCTTCACGTTTTTACAAGCCTTCACTCCTGGTGCACTGCAGTTCCCACCAGCGATGGGTTCCTGAAGTCCTGCAGGCAAACCCCACGCACCGCGCCCTCGCCGAGCTCCCCACGGCTCAGCAGGACCTCCGGCCCTGGAACTGGATGGTGTCTGGAGGTGCTCACCCTGCAGAGAGCAGCACGGTGTAGATTTACCCACCCCGATCTGAGCTTCTCGGAAACAGCACTAGCGTGGGCCTCGTTTGCCCTGCTGAAAAGGTCTTCTGCTCTTGATAGCAAGCCTTGTTTGGGTAATTCTGTTCTCCAGCGCAGTCTGCCGGGTGGACATCTCCAACAACCAAGATTTTCAAAGCTGCCTGAAGGATTTTGATGCCCTGAAGTTAAGGGAAAGGGCTGTCCACGTCCTCCAGGCTGGCTTTTGTTTGTCTCGGTCAAAAGCATGAAGAATCCTTCCTCCAGCTGAGGAGCTGTTGAAGAATGTTCTTGGCATTGAGCTGTAACAACATGTGGCTTTGAATAACCTCCAAGAGTGCATCCTTTTATTTGCTTGCTCTGTTCTTCATACTACTAACCTGACTGTGTTTTGTTTTTGTGGTTGCTTTGCATGTTGTTTCTTCCTCTTGGCTGAGAGTCATGGGGTGGATCTTTTTCCTTTCTGTGATTCAGGTGCCTCACTCTTTCCTTTCCAGGTTCTTCCAGTTCTTTTAACATGTCAAACTCTGGAGATTTGTTCATGAGCGTGCAGTCTCTCAATGGGGATTCTTACCAAGGGGCCCAGGTTGGAGCCAACGTGCAGTCACAGGTAGGGACCCATCCGATGTACTGCCAGTGAATGCATTAGTGTTGGAAGAGCCTTTGATTGTATTGGCACTTCTCCCTCCTGTCCGAAAAGAGCAAATCTCAACCAGCACAAACAAACCAACCAACACTGAAAAAAGGCAAACCAAACCGAAAAAACAACCAACCAACCAAAAAAAGCAACAGCAACAACCACCAAAAAAAAAAAAAAATCAATCCAAAAGAAACCAAAACCAAACACCCAACCAAACCAACAACCATGGTCTTGAGGAGACTTGCCCACACTTTGTGAATGCATTTGGCTCTGGCTTGATAGTCATACTAGGAGGAGAGGAGGTTTAGGAGAACAGGCACAAACTCAAACAAAAGCAGCTGAGGTTTAGGTTCTGCTTGCTTTATTCTTCCAAGGGAAGGGGCCAGATGTTTGGACTGGTGTCTCGTTTTACAAGGCTTCCACTTACTCCTTTGATACCGAACCAGGTGCCTGCTGAAAGGCAAGAAATGTTCAAATACACAGCTAGATTTTTTTTTTTTTTTTTTTTTTAATTAAAATCCACCCTTCACCGTCTCCCCACATCCCCAGAGCACAGGCATTCACTCCACCCATGTACACACCAGCAAGACAGAGCGAGGGAGTTTTGAGCAGCGTTACTGAAACATCAACCCATGCTTTGGGCAAAAAGAAAGAATTTAAAATAGCCAGGAACTCACTCAGATGTCCCACCTCCCATCCGATGTCCAGATGTGCCATGAGTCCACTCTCTGGCGCCTAAGGCTCCGTACTGTGTTGAGAGACGACAGCCACTCTGACACTTCTGCATCAGGCAAGGAGAGCTCTCTAAAGCCGAGGTTGCTCCCCTCGCTGTGCTGGACGCAGAGCAAGCGTGCCACCCGTGGGCAACGAGATGTGCTCGCCACGCGTGCCACTGCCGGGGCTGGGCTGGGGGAGTGGAGGGAGAGGAATGGGGCTTCTGGAAGAGACCTGCCGGTGCCTTTGCCACGGTAGGTATGTTTCCTTTCTGGGCCCTCCGAAATGAAGGCGCTCGGCCGACTGAGGATCTCCTTCCACTGCCGTGAGCTTCCCAGTGCTTGGGGTGGAAGGGGGTAGGGGTAGGAACGTGGGTCCTCGAGCGCGATGGTGGAGCTGGCCACGGCGATGTCCTCCAGGAGGTCCCACCCCACGCTTGCCACGCTGTTGTCCCTCTCCGCTCTTTTTGTTGAAAGGCTTGGGAGCAAGGAGAGCGCGACGGGGGCCTCTGGGGCAGGCGGGGGGTGGTGAGGGAGGAGGGAGCGATCCTCTGGCTCAGCTCTTGCCACAAGACCAACTGTGGTTCTCTTTTACCCCTCTTTAAATGTATACCTTCATTTTTATTTTTATTATTATTACTGGTTTTTTGTTTTTATCTTGCCAAAGATGAACCGAAGCGTCTTTGCCCACTAACCTTTCATTCACTCTAATTTATGTCTTTGTTGTCGTTGGTCTGTTTAGGTGGATACCCTTCGCCATGTTATCAGCCAGACAGGAGGATACAGTGACGGACTCGCAGCAAGTCAGATGTATAGTCCGCAGGGCATCAGTGTAAGAAAAAAAAAATAGGCTCGGGTTCTTGTTTTTATTTTGTTTTTTGTTTTTTGGGTTTTTTTCATTTTTGTTCTCTCACTACCAATTATTTCAAAGCCATAGGGCTCAGAATGCCACTTAGTAGGACTTGTCTTTGCTTTTACGGTCACCTAGTTTATTGCTTCTGTATCGGTCACGCCAACGGGCAGAGCTTTGCCCACAAAAAAAAAAGTGGCGACCGGGCAGGCTTTGTGCAGGCAGCTGGCGTCTAGGACTGTCAGAGCCGATCAGCGTTCGCCCGGCACCTGCGGCCACACGCGCTCGGCCGAGAGGAGCTGCTAAACAGGTGACACCTCGCGTAACCGCGGTGGGGAGTGTCACCGCAAACGCCCTGGTCCGGAGGTGGCTCCACGCGGAGGCCAGTGGCACCATCCCGGAGCGACCGTCTAAAAATAACCCATCCCTGGCCGGCATCTGGAAGCACGGTGGTGATGGGGTTGGCAGCAATAAGGATTGCAAATAAAAGGAGGGGGGGAAAAAAAAAAAAAAACAAACAAAAAAAAACCAAAGCCAACCAACATCAACCCAAGAAAACCTCGCCCAACCGGACTAGAGGAGGATGCGAGGGGGAGGGCGGTCTCCAGAGCATCTTCTCCTTGTTCTTGGGTGCGCTGGCGGGTTCTGACTAGCATGAAAATTCGTAGCGACAAGCTGTGTCACGCAGGGGGAAATCGATCAGACACACACAAGGAGAACCCAGTGTAGATTCGGGACAGCAATCCAACTTCATTTCTCAGATCAATCGTCCGCCATCTCAGCGGGGGTGACAGCAAGCCGGGAGAAGAGGGCAGCCTGGAAAAGGAGGCTGTGAGCGCCGAGTGGGTGGTGGTGGTGGCGTCCGGGGTGGCACGGAGGAGGGGGCGGCTGGCCCTGGCCGTGGCCGGCTGCCGCGGTCCCCGTCGAGGAGGCTGAAGGTTGAGGTGGGGTGGTCTCAGGAAGGTGACGGTCCTCCAGGTGGGACAGTGGTCCTGCAGCCGAGCACCCCGGCGGAGCGCACCGTCCGGTCCCATCGCCCTCCCGGCCAAGGCTTGTGCCGTTTGTCACCTCGTCTGTGACAATCTTCGGGCCGTCGGCGTGCGAGCGGCCACCGCCGGCGCGGGGGGAGAGGGTTCAGGGAGAGGGGTGCAGCGGGACGGGGGGCTGCGCTCCCCTCTCCTGCGGGCGCCGGGGCTTAGCGGGCGGCTTGACGTCAGGAAGCAGAGGCAGGGAGGATTTGTGAAGTAATGTAATTGAACATGTGCAGATAATTATGTCTCATTACATAAGCCCATCGCAAAAACGGCGCTTGGAAATGCCACATGAAAGAGCCTATCGTTCCGCATTAATTTCTCCATGCGCTGAATTTATTCCCTTTCTGGCTTTTTAATACTTGGAGAGTAAATGAATCGCAGGCTGATCATGATAAGAGATGATACTTTTGTATAAATTAAAATACCCCCAAGGAAAGAGGTTGAGCTGATTACAGTTGTAGCTGGCTTGGAAAACAACAGTGGGCTGGGTTAAGCCAAAATCTGGGGGGGAGGATTGCTGCTGGGGATTACAAGGCAGGGAGAGGAGAAGAAAGAGGTAGCGGAGACTCAAAAGCTGAATTGGTCAAGGAGAGCAGGGCTGCTGTTGCTGGCTGTGGTAGTGGGAGAACCAGGGTTAACCGCAAGCAGTACTGGGAATTGGTTGAGCTGGGAGCATCGGGGGCTCAGCGGTGCCCCCTGCGCTTCCCAGATGGGGGTCTAGCATGGTGGCATCTCCTGGCTCCTCAGGCTGGTTTTCAGGGAAGGCAGGAAGTCAAATTGGCCTGAATTGGATGTTGCTCAGAGAGGGGCAGGGTGGCAAGTGGGCAAAGGGACCACCCAGGTTTCGGGGTGATGCCTCATCTCCCCATAAAGCTGTGGTAGGCACGGGGAGCAAGGCACAGAGTCCGGAGCTGGGCGGATAGTTTAGGAAGCATCTTCTGGGTCATCCCTCTGTCCCCAGATGTTTTGCTTCCCCCGTATCCTGGGCAGCATGCTCCCGCCTGTAGCTTCTGTTGTCACTTAATGTCTTCCCATCTCGCTAGGTCCCTTGATGGACCCCAGTTTGTCCACCCCTGCAGTGTGACTGCCTTCTGAGAAGCATTCGGCAAGGTCCTGGGGAGCTGCTCAGTGCAGGCAGGGTGCCTGTCTCGCAGCAGGCAGGGCTTCCCTGCCTCTCCCCTGAACCCTGTGATGCCAAGGAAGGGCAGCAGGACGCGGAGGAAAGCTGCTAGTGAGACAAAAAGCTGCCGTCCCGGCGTCACCCAAGCATCCCCATGAGCTGCTGGAAGGAGATGAGCCGAAACCTATCCAAGAGCCCTGTCACAACGATGTCTGCACGGGGCTGAGGTTAAGTCATCCCCCCAAGCCCGTCAGGGCTGGGAAGTCAGCGGCAGGTTGCCCAGCTTCACCGCTGCAAACCTTGGCAGGGGAGGCACCGCTTGGGGTTTGCCTTCCTCGATGGAGGATGAATTTTTAAATGCGTGTAAGTCGTGACAGCTGAGGACAGGAATCTACCCAAAGCCCCGTTCCCTCCGTGGCTCTGCTGCTCGACGGCTGACAGACCTCTCCGTGGGGCAAAAAGGGATGGAGTCAGTTCTGCATCGTTAGCAGGATAATGGGTGTTGTCCCAGCCATTGCCATCTCTGTGACCCGCAGCAGTGGCTGAGGCAGAGCAAGAACAGCCGCCTCCTCCTCTGCAGGTGGAGACAGCGTTGGGCAGCACTGGTCCCAGCAAAGGACAGGGATGCTCTTGGTGATGGAGGGATGGTAGATGCAGGAGCTGTCTTGAGGGTGCCCAGCCTTGGATAGCACTGAGAGGAAGGAGGGACCCCCCAACCTGAAAGGAGGGGATGTCTGGGGCCTGATTCAGCCCTTTTTGCAAGCTTCAAGGTTGAGGGGGTTTGCATGGTTAAGTGTCTGGGTCCGTCTGGACAGTGCTCGTTTGTGGGGGTCTGCATGTGTACTGAACCAGAGGTCCCCGAGGCTAGGGGTTTCAGAGCATTTAGATGTCCAGGTTGTAGTGGATTCCAGCAGAAGTTGGGTCTTTGTTGCCCTAATCCTCTGGAGGGTCCCAACCCAAAACATCGCCCTTCCTGCGCTGCCCCGTGATTGTAAATCCGCAGTGTTTTAGTTCCATCTGCTAAGGAGTGAATGAGCTATAGTCATCTTAAGGAAAAACCATTTCAGAAATTTATTTTTGGACTTTATTTAACTTAATTTATAGATCATTTAAAAGTCTAAAATGAGAGGCTATTTTTAAAGTTCATCAGAGTGCAAAGTTTTTGATTTAAAACCACTGTCGTGCAGAACTGTGCCTATTCACAGAGCAGTGTGTGTGACTGTGATGGCCGTGGTCAGTGGCAGGGTGTGCCATTGAGTTTTGTGTCCATTCTTGTTGGTGAGGATCACCAGGCACTGGTAGATCTCATATCCCGAGGCCTCCTCGCTTGTGCTGAGACCCTTTTCTCCAAGAATTTGAGCCTTGAAAAGAAAGTTGCTGCTGCGTTCCTCAGCGAACTGTGGTTCGCCATCACAACCAAGCTACGGTTCATGATGATGATCACAAGCTGGTGTGTGGGAGTTGATTGGCAAGACTTCGGTGCCCGAGCTCCATCCATCAGGGATGCCTTGGTGTGTCCTGAAGACTGCCACCATGACCCTTGGAAAGTGATGGCCAGACAAGGCTGGATTCTCTGGTGTGTAGTAAGAGCTTCAGTGTTTATCATAAGGAGACCCTGATGCAAGCTCTTGAAAGCTCAAGAGGTCTGAAACTTCTTTGAGGCTGCTACCCATCTCTGAGACTTACCGGTATCTGGTGTGTTTGGAGGCTGACCTGACATCCTGCCCCGTCAATGGTGGGACACGGATTTGGTCACAGAAGGTGGCACGTCGAGACAGCCTCCGTGAGGAGCAGAAGGCGCCTTTAAAAATTGGCAGGAAGTCACCTCCCAGCCCCACGTAGGAGGCCCGGGCAGAGAGCCAGCCAGGCTTGCTGGAGGAGACAAAAATGCTGAGAGACCCATGGAAACAGGCACCAAACCCAGTTGCTTCAGCAAACCATCACAGGGGCTCCACCACTTGGACAGTCACCAAGGCCTTGCCTGTGTTCTGTCACCAGAAGGTGACATGAAGAGGTGTCCTGGAGACCATTGCCCTGTGTTTGGCTTCTGCCCCTCCTGAAGAAGTCACAGCTATGTGTCTGTGGGGAGCAGCAGCGTCCTCAGAAGACCCCCTCGTCTTTGAGGGAGATCCCAAGGGATTTACTACAGTCAGATCCCAAGGGATGTCTTTGCTTCGGAAAGAGGCAGGGCTGGCTGGGTGGAACTGGATGCATCCTGCACATGACTTGGTCCATGCAGCAACGGGGTGAACCCCAGGAAAGGAGGGGTGAGTATGGATGGTGCCTACTTGCCCTCTGCCTGGGGAAGGATCCAGCCTCCTCGCCAAGGGATTGTCCATACCAAAGAATGGCATCAAGATGATAAAGTCATGGCCAACCTTGGGGCCTCCTTTCTATCGCTTGACTCGTAACTCGGGGCCTTCCCATGGCTGGAGGAGCAGGAGGGCGTGGGGTCTGTGGAGGGTGCCCCGATCCGGGTCAGCCTCCCCCCAGCATCCTCCTGGCGTCCCGCTGGATGAGACCGAGGTGGTTGTCGGCAGCACAACACACCAAGGCTGATTCCCAATCTGGAGTACCATGGGGCTCCCCAGCATTGGGGGGGCAGGGTGCTAAACATCGAGGTGCCGCAGTCGCTGTCTGCAAGACGCTCTCCCTCTCGCTCCTTCCAGCCGCGGCTGGCACGCAAAAGCCTTGCTAAAAATAGTTGAGCACAATAGGGACGGAGCCCTGCTCCGCACGGCCCCCTCCGCTCTCCCCCCCTCCTGCTCGTTGTAATGACCCTGCAAACACTAAATGGCATCTGAGTGCATTAAGCAGCAAACTCTCCGGTGACATAGCAATTACGGCTCTGAAATAGATTTGGTGCGTCACGGAAGATAAGGGTTTTGAAAGTTTCTGTTGTGATTATAGCTTGTAACTCCAACAAATAACAGGCTTGGTAATAAGAGGCTGCCAGCACAGCTATTGTGGTTCTCTCTCACTGATGGCACGTAAATTGCTATTAATGTCCTAAGTGTACTTGAATATGCCAGTCTCAGGGCGGTGGAGTTGGCTCTGTGTCTCTCTTTACACGGCCTGTCATTGTCGGGCTGATAATCTACAGTAATTGCTGCCTCTTGCAGCGGTCCAAGACGTGTGAGCGTGGCTATTGCATCTCGGGGAGCGCAGGGTTGGTGGGTTGGGGCCTGGCTGCGGATGGAAACTGGTGGGACTGGTGGGCACGCCAGGGCTGGTAGTGTTTGTGCGTAGTCTGGTTTCATGCTTGCACCCCAGGTGAGGCGGAGCAGGGTTTGCCAACCTGCTAGCAAGCTCAGGTTGCGACTCCCAGCTTCCTTGCTGTTGCCTGAACCCTTTTGCAAGGCAGCGTGCAGACACACAAGTGCATGGAAGAACACACAAGCCCGTTGTGGGTGTGCACGCCTCTGTCCTTTCTGCTCTGTGCATGTCCCGCTGCGAGGTGGTTTCATCCCTCAAGATGTGGGTTCCCAAAACTCATGGTCAGCTCTTTGCTCCCCTCTCGGCAGCCTCTCAGGCAGGCAGGAGCTGGTTGGCAGCGCAGACAACCTGCCAGCGAGTCCCGGGGGGCTGCTTGGCACCTCAGGGTGATGAGGCTTTTCCTACCCTTACCCCACTTCGGGGGTCTGCGGGGTCCCAGCTTTTGGGGCCGGTGGTGGAGGCAGTGGGACAGGCAGCCAGAGAGGGGCAAAGCAGCCCGGGCACGTCTAAAGCAGGACTGCGGCTGTTACGACTTGAGCTTGGGCAGTGGTTGGGAAGGATTAATTAGCCGAGCACTGGATCAATGTCAGAGTGAGCAGAGGAGGTTGGGTGTGACATCTGCTCCTCTCCAAAGGGGATGGCAGCCGCGGAGAAGGGGCTTCTGCGCGCTGCCGGCTCCTGCCTGCTGCAGCCGGGGCCCTTTGGTAGCTCTGCTCTCCAGAGGCCGGAGAATTTGGCTCTGCGTCTGTTTTTAGGAGAAGAAACAAGTTGTCGGCCAAGCTTTGCTGTATGAACCCTCGGGTGGGATATGGTGGGGGCACCTCCTTTGCGCTGTGGCTTGGGGTCCCTTGAAGAGGGGTGATGCGGCACGTGCAGGACCAGCCCCAGGGCAGCAGAAATTTGTGGTTTTACTGCAAAGCGAGAAGAGGAAGGGTCTTGAGTTGGGAGTGGAGAAGTGGCCCGAATCTCCGAGCGCAGCCTTCGTGGTGGCGGAAGAGGTATTTGGGCAACGTGTCTTCCCCATGAGAAGGCTCGGTGCTGATGGCTTCCCCCTGCACCGGGACGGTGCAGCAGGAGGGATGCCCAGAAGGGCAGCAAGGGGGGACATGGAGCGGTGCTGGGGGACACGGCATGGCTTGTTCTGCGTGTTCATAGCACCTGGGTCCAGATTACATCCCAGGATGGGGTTTCTGGAGTGAGGTTTTTGCTATTTTCCTCCTTCCGTATGGGGAAGGGTCCTGTTTGGGGGTAAAAAAAAAAAAAAAAAAAAAAAAAAAACCAAAAAAAAAAACCAAACAACCAGAGCTCAGGGTTTCCGCAGAAACACCTATTTTTTTTAAGGGATAGGATTTTCATGAGCACTTGCCATTTATCAAAACCCCTGTTTTCGACAGAATTGTTTCTGGCCCCATCCCACTGATGGAGCCTTGTGGTCTGTGGTGGGATGGGGGAGGCAGAGGGGAGATCTTTGCCTCCTACATCGGCCCCTGCCGAGGGAGAAGCCGGGGGGTCCGAGGCAGGTGGGTGGCTCGGGTAGTGGCGGGGGGTGCCGTCGGGTGACTGACGTCTCCGTGTCTCCCTTCCCACAGGCTAATGGAGGTTGGCAAGACGCTACTACCCCGTCGTCGGTGACCTCCCCCACAGAAGGCCCTGGCAGCGTTCACTCTGATACCTCCAACTGATCTCCCAGCAAATTGCATCCCTGGCTGAGCCGGCCCCGGCGGGGGCGGGAGGGGAGGGGGCCTCTCCTAACACCGCAGCAGTCAGACTGGAGGTGAACCCAATCAGCACACACAAGAAGACTCCTTCTCTTCTCTTCTCTTCGTCGGGATGCTTTTTTCAGCCAATCTGGACACTTCTTTATACTCTCTTCCCTTTCTTTTCTGGGTAGAAGCCGCTCTCCCCCTCCCTGCCACCGCCACAACACCACTCCCTTCCCCTCACCCCTTCCCACCGAAGGATGTGTCGACAGGTAGCAGGATTTTAAGGAGGAAAAGCAAAAATCGACCACCGCCACACAAAACCACCCCAAGGCAGCGTATGGCCTCGCGCTGGGCGTCTTTCTGAGGAGCCGCAAGCGTACCTCAGTCACGTCTCGCTCCTTTGCTAGCAGGCAGCCCCCCCCCCCGGGCCCCGTCTCTCCCGCTGCCTCTCCGCAGGGAAACGCCACCGCAGCCCCCGCCGCCGCCTCGTCTCCGCCGGCCGCAGCCAGCGCATCGCCTCCCCGCACACCCAGCCCTGCCTCGGTGAGGTGAGCCGTCCCTCGGGCGCTGCCGGTGACGGGGCGGGTGGTCGCAGCCAACCCCCCCCCCCCCCCCCCAGCCTGTGCACGTAGAAAAGGAGCCGACGCGCTTCCAAAAGGTACCGGCCCAGTCCCAGCCCCGGGGAAACTGCCGGCGCTTCCCGGTCCTCGCCCTGCCCCGCCGCACGTCCCAAAGCCGGATGAGCCCTGAGACCCCACCATCCTCCCCGCCCGCTGTCGGAAGGAAGGAGAGGAAACACCGGTGATAACGAAGGCACCGAGCACCTCCGCGGTGTCGTACGGGATCAGGCGCTGACGACTGACGGGACCCCGGCCGTTTCCTCGCAGCGCCTGCCGAGGCCAGCAGCAGCGGCGGAGTTTCCCCTGGCGAGGAAAGCGTCGCGGGGTGTTGGCTCGTGTTTTGCGGCAGCGTGCCGCGCTGTGGAAGAGGAGGATGTGGGGAGGAGGTGCAGGCAGGACCCATAGAGGTTGGTGGCACCCGCTCTATTCCCGAAACCCTGCCGGGGCAGGCAGCGAGGGACGGGCAGCAGGATCCCCCCAGGCTGGATGTGGTGGGGTGAGCGCATCGGGTGCTTTCGGTAACGGTTAATGGGACAGGTTTGCTTGAGGGTGAAGCTCTGTAGGACGGGGGGGGGCGCCCCGCTTGGGGATGTCTTTCCGCTGAAGCTGCTGGTTTTGTCCCAGGAGTTACTCTGGGCATGTGGCATCCCAAGCCATGGGAGAACTCGTGGGATTTCTGCCCGGTTTTTCTGGTCTGCTCTTTGGACAACCGGTGATGGGCGGTAAGCGAGGGTTCATCCTGCCGAGCCACCCCTTCAGGCAGCTGCTGCTGGGAGGACGTGGCTTTTGTTGAAGAGCAGGGTGAGGAGGCACCGGTTTGCCCTGGGCAACGGGCTGAGTTTCGTGCCGGGGTGGTACTTGTGGCCCCCCCCCCCCCCCCCCAGTTCTTCCAGTGGGCGCGAGGAGGCTGGGCCGGCCCACGGCAAGACCCTGGGTGTCGTGGGGACCGGTGTGGGTGCAGCGTGGCTGGCACCTCGTGACGGATCATCTCGTGCTCTTGCACGTCCGTGCCCACCCTGCCCGTGCTGGCACCAGCCATCTCGAGGTGGGAACTGCCAGCACAGAGCAGCGTTAAGCAGGAACTGTTTTAAGTTTAAAGCTCTGCCAGAAAAATTTCCACCCTTGTGCTGGAAAAAGGACGTGCCCGTGGCTCTGACATGCTGTCACCTCGCAGCACCGGGCCAGCAGCACGAAGTGGAGGTGAAGCCTGCCTTTCCCTGGGGAACAAGCCCAGAAGGCTCCAAAACACCCGCTCTGATATTTGTGACCTTCCTCCCACCGTGAAAAGTCCCATTTCAGTGGATTTTCTGTTTCTGAGCTGGTAGGATCAGAGTAGGACGTGAAAGGTGGACAAAAAACCAGCACAAGCTTAGTTCTTAGGCGTCCAGCGGTGAGACGCTTTCTGCTCCTCCTTTTGCATCCGTGCTTGGGGACAGGGACTGTGATGTGACCTGCCAGGTCTGGGGCTGCCTCTCCTCCCGGCTGGGAAGATGTTAAGAGCAACGAGAAGGTCGTTTTCCCGGTGCGGAGAGTTGGGAGGTGCTGCCCGTCTTCCCGAGCAGCGCACCTTCCCGCTCTCCTCCCCCAGGGCAGCCTTTTAACCGTTTCCACCTTATCTGACACGAAACCATTCCGGCAAAGCGCGGTTCCAGGGTGAGGGACTGGGTCAGGTCCGTTCTCCGGAGCGGCAGCAGTGCCGTGCCTGTGGGAATTGCCACGGGAACCTCTTGGAAACCAACTGGGAGCGACCCGAAACCACCTGCCCGCGCCAGGGCTGCCTTCCCCCCGCCCTGCAACCCGCTGCCCCTCCTGCCTGCACCCCCCCCGGCACCCCCTGCCCGGGCAGGGCCCTCGCTCCTCCACGGTACTTTGCAAATCACCTCCTGGGTTCCCCGGTTGGTCCCTCCGGTTCGCGTTGGCGTAGCTGCTCTGCTTGCCTTTTTTGTTGCTTTTCTTTTTTTTTTTTTTTTTTTTATTTTGGGGGTTTGTTTCTCCTCCCCTTTCCCCCCCCCCCCCCCCCACTCCTCCCCCCAGCCCCGAGTGTTGTGGGGTTTTTTTCTTCTTCGTTTTTTTTAATTTTTTTTTTTTTCTGCCCAGAAAAACCTGACTTCGATACCAAAAAAACAAAACAAAACAAAACAAAAAAACAAAAAACAAACAAAAAAACCTGCATTAACTCAAAAAAAATAAAAACAAAAAAAAAACACAAAAAAAACTCGACGATTCTTTCAGCTTTATTAACATTTTCCATTGTTTCTTGCGATTTGTGTCTCGTTCTTTGTAGTATTGATGATAACGAACATTTGATAATGAATGTTCTTGTATATTCAGATAAAGGAGAAAAAAAAAAAACCAAAAAAGCAGTCGGAATTTAATAGTGTTTATAATAAAAGAATAAAAAATGACCCTCTTAGCACGCAAAATTGAACAGGGGGAAGGTCCCATCCCTGTTCTTTCTGTGGCAACAAGCGCTTCATTCCTGTATAGTTTATAACATCAAACTACCTACATTCATCCTCTTTTATTTTGGTTTGTTTGTTTTTCCCATGGTTTGTTTTTTTTTTTTTTTTTTTTTCCATTTTCTCGCATTTGTGAATTAGTTCAAGAATGCTAGAAAAGTGTAGAGTTGTGCACACTCATTTCTTCTTACACAATGTTTAAAAAGTGACGGTAATTCATTTTGTAAAACTTTAAAAAGAAAAAAAAATGGTTGGAATAGTGAGCATTAATAGGTACAGTCTAACACTTTATGTTTCTTAACGTTGAGACCCAGAAATTACCTTTTATTTTATTTTTTTTGGCGTTATTTGGGAGGGGAGGGGGGCTTTGATGATGGTGATGCTGAGTTTATTTTGACCTGTCTGAGACGTCGGCCTTGCCGCTTCCCCTGTGCTTTTGAGCTGTGCCTCAGGTGATGTGAAAAGTGATGGTGGTGGTGGTTTGGGTTTTTTTTTTGGGGGGGGTTGATCCCCCACGCCTTTTGACACCCAACCCCGGAAGATCCTTGGGTGGCTGCTCTGGGGCTGAGCGAGGGGATTGCGTCCCCGGAGAGGGATGTAATCCCAAGGGGTGACAGGGAGTTGGGTGCTGAGCCCCCGTGGGTCTCCGTGCCTCGGGGTGCTGGGGGGCGGGGGGGGTGATGCTGAGCTGCGTGGAAGTGATGAAAGGGCACGAATCCTCCCCGAAATGTGTAGAAGGTGGGCTTCAGCGCCCTTCTGCTCTGCCCCACGTCCCGGCAGCACCCTTGCCCTGAGGGTTCGCTGCAAAAGCCCGGGCATGGGGGCACCCACCAGCCCAACCGCAGCTCTTGGCCCAAAAAATTGAGGGGTTCGGCACGAGGAACCTCATTTCAACCGTGGCCCTTGGTGAGGACGGGGGTCCCGCAGCCCGGCCCCAAGCCCCGGCTGCACAGGGGCGCTGGGAAGGATGAGGGACAAGGGACGTAGAAGCCCCCCCAGCCACGGTGGGACATGGCCAAAAAGCCCCCAGATATATCCCGAAATCTCTGTGGCTCCAGGGTGGGGTTTGAGGAGAAGCGCCGAGGAAGACACTGGTTGGCATCGCTTTGGTTTTCTCTTAAAATAGTTTCCCTGCTCCCCCTCCTCCTCCCAAAAAACCTGAGCTTTTCACATCACTGAGCGGTTTAGGGTTTGGGGTGTTATTTTTAATCCCAAGGTTTCCTGGAGTCCCTTTGTTTTTGTACACCTTTATTATTATTATTATTATTATTATTAAGATGATGTAAATCAGACATTGCCTGGGGGGTTGGTTTTGTCGGTTTGCTTTTTTTGTTCTTGCAAAGCCCTTTCTATCCCTTGTAAAGATGATCCAGTTGTTCTGAGTTGCTTTTTCTTTTCCATTTTTTCCCCCCATCTTTTTTTTTTCCTCTCCCTAATGGATTCCAAATATTAAAAAAAAAAAAAAAAAAAAAAAGGAAAACCCTTAAAAAAAAAAAAGACTCTCTGTTCCGACCTGGTTTTGAAACTTTAAGCTTTTCTGCTTCTGTAAAGAAAAAAAAAGGCCTCTGTCTTTCTGATCCCAATTGAGACTTTTATGTTCTATGACGATACTAACAAGGTGTAGGTTTTACAGTTTCCTGATTTGTACTGGTAATGCATATTCCAAATAAATAGTTTCTTTTGTTGCAAAAAAAAAAAAAAAAAAAAAAAAAAAACTGAAACCAAACCTGGTGTATTTTTTGGGAGGAAAAAGAGGAAAGCAAGATGCTCTGGGCGTTCCCCTCCATGGGGATGCAGGGGGCAGGAAGGGTTTGGGGTGTAGCAGGGGGGCCAGGGGGGTGAGACAAGGCAGTAGCCTGATGCTCGGTCCTGCTGGTGGTGGTGGGAGCTTGGGGGGCCGGGGAGATGCGGTTCAGGGGTGTCCCCGCTGCTCCCAGCGCCTCCCCTGTGCCTCAGTTTCCCTGGGCAGGGGGACGTGGGTGCTCCTGGACACGTGGATTTG